AACAATTGAACTTAAACTTATTCTATATGTGTTGAATGATTCATTTCTTTGTATAATTCAATGACTTAGATTTAAATATTGATTTTTTTTTATATGTTCCTTAAAATGACATGAGAACTAAACGTCTATAGTTGTTTTTGTTCTCAGAATGATCCAAAATTGTCTTTTTTCAGATTGGCTATATGGCGATATGTGGGATTGGTTCCAGTCCGGGTTTGGAGGGTGTCGAGAGATGGAGTTTAAGTGGGAATTTGTCAACAAGGCTGATTAGTAGGCAGTTTATGGGAAGTCAAAGTCATGTGTGATGTTTCAGAGGAGAAGTTTTGGAGTTCAGTGTTCATCTTCGAGGAAGGTTGTTTCTGGAGTTGAATCTGAGGTTGTTTCTATGGAGGAAGAAGAGTCAGGGCATGTTATGAGGTTTAAGATGTTTGATTTCAAGATTCTTGATCGTGTTAGCCTTGGCCTTGCTAGGCGGGTATGTTTGTGTGAAGAATTCAAATGTTTATTGGGAATTTGATGGTGGTGTTTGATTGTTTTTGTGATTTAATTGAATTGGGATTTCCTGTAGGTTGATGAGGTTGTTTTTGAAGCCATTGTGAATGATTCTAACAGGTTTCATTTCTTTTTTGTTTCCTTCTCATTATTTCTTATGATATGTTAGACTAAGGCGTGAACTTATGATGTTTGTATTGCGAGATTGCAGCCCTTTGTATAACATAAGAGTTGTGCTAGAAAACTAGATGAAACATAAGATCAATTGAGGAATGAGTAACTTCTATTGCTATTGGTAGTGCTTTTGGGAACCAGCATGGTTATTGGTGATGACACTCTAACTCCGTCAATGTCTGGTATTATTTCTTTCATACATTACATATATTTTTCATGTGAAGTTATAGATTGATTATGGTACATAGCATAATGGTATGGTTTTGTCCATAGATCTCCATCAAATTGGATATGATATATTTTAGCTACTGCACAATGTATTAGCTTCCAAGAATTGCACAACTTTCTCTTACTTTGTCACATTTAATGCATATACAGTGTGTGTTTATGTGTGTGCATGTGCATGTGTGTGTGATGGGATAAATGAGTAACATCCTTTTAATTGTTTTTTTTTTTTTTTTTTTTTTTTTTTTATCATAGATGAACTTGATTAGTTCTCAAACCTAGCAGCTAACATGATGAAAGCAGAGACCATATTCGAAAGGTAATCTTTTCTTTTTGAGTAAAAATTATGATTATGTACCAACTTAGTGTAATCTTAAAAGCACTTACTCTTTAAGTTTTCTTAATGTCTAAATACAGTTGAAATTTTTTTTCTTGGTGCTTTTATGCAACCAGACTAAATTTAGTAACTCATTATTTTCTTGGAGTTAAACTCAAACTTCTTGCAGAAAGAGTTTTTCAATAGAAATTTTAAGTTTTTAGTGAACTTTTGCGTAGAACTTAGTTTGGATTAAAACATATGCGGATGTTTGACAAATTCTTGGATATTCATATTCATATTTGGCTAATTTGACTAACCTCTTGACTTGAGGACGAACTAATCTCAACATCAAGCTCTTTGGAGTCAATGATGTTGTTCATATCAGTTTTTGATATATTCATGGAGCTTGGAACTACATTCCCATCTTTCTCTTTGGCTTGACTAAAGTTGTCCACCTACAACAACAACCTATACATCACCTGTTGAGCAACCAAAGTGGTCTTCCAAGTGTAGCCAACCATTGCCCCACTCACAGGTGCTTACTTTAAACCATTGTTTGTTTGAAATTTCATATTATTACTGTTTGTTTCTGAATGTAAATTGATTCATTTTGATTCCTTTATTATGCAGCCAACCTTTGGCATGATGGTCACAGTGAGCATTGATGGGGGTGACATTGGAATAATTTAATGAACATTTCATTTTGGCATAGACACAGTATGAACCATTTATATATATATATATATTATAGTTCCATTTATTTTGTTTTTCTGTGTCTTATAAACAATGTTATATTGCAAAGTGTTTATCAATGAAGCATATTTTATTATCAAAAAGTTGCAAACTTACATTCTTAGATAGGTTATACATGTTTTTGTTGTGGACTCTGTAGCCAGTAATAGTTTGTGTTTTGTGGCGAATAGAGTTTGTGTTGGATGATGAAGGATGACAAGTTTTATTTTATTTTATTTTTGCTCATTTCATGGTGTTGGGCAGCCTTTTAAAATGGTGAAAGATTAACAGTTGGACCTCAAAGCAATGGTTATATTCCATGTAGGAACTACTAATTTTAAGAAGGGCAAAATTGTCCTTTCAATTATATTATTATGTACCAAATTGTTGTAAGAAATGTGTTGCAACTCTTTTTTTGCTTTGAAAAGGGAATATATTCCTATCACTAAAATGTTCCAGTATTATTTCGTTCTTCAATTAATTAATTTATTTGTGTCAAAACCACTTTCATAAGTTGTAGGACTTTCAACTTCTATGTATTGAATTCAATTAATTCAATTCTTGTTGAATTACAAACTGACCATTTCAATCTTCCATCACTTGCATTTTATCAAATTAAAAGAGGAATGTGAAAGATCTGTACTGCATACATTAATTGAATGCATGTGAATCATCCCTATTTTATCAACACCAATAAGCAGCAAATACGGAGACCAATTAACGACATCCTAAATGGCAATCATATAACGATTCTCGGCAATCTTTAAACATAAAAACCCCGATTAAAAAAAAAAAAAAAAGAACAATAACAAAATGTTCTATTATAATCAATATTTGACATTTTTTTTTTGTGAAACAATAGTCGTTTACAATTTCTTAAAATATAAAAATTCGATAATAAAATAAAAACAATATAATAAATAAACCCGCATAATGCGCGGGCGTGCCATCTAGTTGTTTTAAAAAATGCACCCAACCTTACCACATTTTGCTAATTTTTTCCATTAAAATGAACCGATATTAAAGTATATTTGATATTTTCAAGTTTTAAAAAGGGCATTTTAGACTTTAAGTTTTCTAACAAAACCTTAAATTTTTTGTTGCCTTTTACCCCATACCCCCACTGATCAACCCTATTGATTTCTTTCTTTGGTAGCATTGTGAGGCCAATCTAACCTTGTGCTGAGTGCCAAAATCGCCCTCATGCCATCTTCTAGTGCGTACCATTGTTTTAAAAGCCGGACCGGACCTATCGGTCCAACCGGTTGGACCGGGAACCAGTCACGTGTCCGGTTCGGGTCAATCCTAAAACCGTTATAATGCAATGGACCGTGTTAAACCATTAAAAAATCGGATACTTTCAGCAAACTGCCGGTCCAACTGGACCGACTGATAAATCGGTCCAATTAAAAATCCTTAAACCTAATACACACAGCCTTCTTCTCATCGCGTTTAGTTTATCTTTTTCTCAGTTTCTTACGAAATGTTCTCAGTTTCTTACGCAAATTTCTTAGCTTCTTCTATCTCTTTGTAAAAAAATTTCAGCTTCGTCTCTGTTGTTTGTTCTCTGCGAAGATTTCTCTCTAAAATCCCACCCAAATCGCATCTGAACTCTCTGAAATCGACGACGATGTCTTCCTCCCTTGCCGAAAATTGACGACGTCTTCCTCCCTCACCGAAAATCGACGACGACAGCTTCGTTCCTCGCTGGAAATCGACAGTGACAGCTCCATTCGTTGACGACAGCTCCATTCTTCGATCTAGGTAATAAACACGCTCCATTCTTCGATCCAGCTTCAATAATCAATAATTTCAATTTCATTTTTGTAGCAATGTCATCCTACAAATATTCAGGAGGTCCTATATAGGATCTGTGAACAAACGAGCAGTCTATGGACCGTGTACTTCATCCTTTTGATTTTTATGCATCATATATGCCTTTGATGATTAATACATAATGTGGTATCAAATGAGTGTAGCATTATTTGTCAACTGATATCTGGAATATTTATTTTAACACATTCAAGTGGCATTTTGCGTTATATNTACAATATCTTTATTTACAAAAACAAATTCATATAAAATAAGTATCTATCATTCATTCAAACTTTAAAACTCAGATACTCAATCGAATAAAAGACATAAAACAGGTCAAATTTCAATCTTATATATATCAAACAGAACAAAGGACAATTAAAAAAAAAAAAAAAACTCACGGCGTTACAATTTTTCTAAGGTGTATTTAGATTTGAGGGCTGCTTGAGATAAATTGTGGAGGATAAATTTAATTTTCGTGGAAAATATTGACACCAGAGTTTTTGCTATCCCAAATTTATACCAGCCTTAATATATATTTACTTTTTGACCATCTGTAAATGTTGTTACATTTGGGTTTTAATGGATTTATATTATTGTGAGAGTTTTGAGCGTGACAATTATACATGATCGAAGCTAATAAAATTTTGTTAAATAAATATTTGATTTAAACATGGTTAAGGACCTAAGGTACATAGATAAAAGATATAATGTAATAAAGGACCTAAACCCCATTTCAACTATTAGAGTTCTCTACAGATGGACAGTCAAATGCCAGAAGAGGACAAATCCAATGATGGTTGAGATATCATATCATATGTAATGTCATCCCTGTTTCTAGCGCTGAGTAGGAAAGGTAGAAGCAATAACTTGTTTTGCTCTACCTATTAAAATAATGGCATAATATTATGGATAGTTGAGATATGGATTCATTGGACCAAAATCTGTTGGCTGCAGTCATGCTGCTAATTACACAGTTGTCTTCTTGAACGCAGAACAAAAGCACTATATATGGAGGCTTTTTCCGAGTCTTTTTCGTATAAGAGGGTACAAATTAACACGGCACAGATACATTGGCTTAAAATCTCACCTAACTTTTACTCACCTAAAAGAAATAAATATATTAACTGGTTTCCTCTTTCTTGCACTCAATGACCGGAAGGGTAAAGATTTCGAAATTTTTTACAACTTTCTTGCTCTTGTGAGCTTCCATACAAGTTGTCTATTTAAAGTCAGAAACAAATTAATGAAGAGCAATCTTAAGTAAGTATCATTAAACATGAAGTACTCTTCAAGAATGTTAGTCTCAACCTCTGCTATGGCTGGTCTTATAATTCTTATAATTCTTGCCCCAGAATCAGAGGGTGCCATATCTTGTAATGATGTGATCAAGGACCTGAAACCTTGTGTGAACTATCTTAAGAGTGGAAGTGGGAATCCACCAGCTGCTTGTTGTGCCGGAGCTTCCGCTCTTGCATCAGCTGCATCAAACGCTGCTGATAAGAAGACTGCTTGTGGATGCATCAAAACAGCCGCCCAGAAAACGAATCCCAATTCCAAATTAGCCCAGGCTCTCCCTGGAAACTGCGGAATCACATTGCCTGTTCCCATTTCAACTACTGTTGATTGTTCCAAGTATATATTCTCACATTTAACACGTTATTTGTTTATGTTTTTAATAACATACGTATATGTATATGCTACATCATCTTGTTTGCATACTAACAATTTCTTGTTTGCTCTGCCTATGCAGGATTGGTTGATTATAAAGAAGTGATCTGCACACCCAGTATAAGGGAAAACTTCGCCTATTTTGTAATAACCGGAATCTGTTGATTTCTTTTCGGATTCCTTCAGTAATAAAGACATATATATATATATATATATATATATATGGAAGAGTTAGTTTTATGTTGGTAAAAAAGGAAGCATCACATCACTTCACAAATCAGTCTCTTGTGTAATGGATGTTTGGCAGTAAGTATGAATATCTGTTAAGAGAGAAATATGTATTACTTTCCTTTACATATTATAATTTTACCAGCTGAGAATTAATGTTCAATGACTTATAAATAATATTTACAATAAAATCCTAATTCATATAATATAAAAACTAAAATTTTAAAATCAATTTAATATGGATATTTAAGCATTCTAAACTTGTTAATAATAAGAAATTCACCTAATGTTTTTGACGACCACAGACAAGACATTTCCATTTAATTCTGTAATCAAACATCACCTTATTTATTCAATATTTAATTATAAGAATTCTTATATCAAAATCCGTATATATAATTTTGGGATGAACAGAGATTCTGCTACCTGGCTTGAGTGGGTTTCAAAGCTAATCTCTGATGCCAATTATTACCAAAAAAATGCATCATTAGGTACACTCGATTTCATAAAATAGATGGGAAAAACAGCAGCGTGGGGTAGGGTGGGGGAGTTCATAGGCCAAAAGTCGGTTATTGATTACGCTGCCGTAATAAGCGAGAACAGTGATGATTAATGACCTTCAGTACAAGTAAACTTCCAACACATTAAAATTACAAAAGGAAAAGAATGACAGAAAGCTTGGTTGGAAAGCTAGAAAGAGCAAACTTTTTTCTTTTTAGTTATCAGGGGCCCACAACTGAATACCTTTTCCCCATGCGAAAGGCCAAAATCCGGCACCGGCATCTGGGTGTCGTCCCAGACTCCTCTTTCATCACATTGACTTTACCAATGTCCTATATACGAAACATGGTCGGCCATCGCCCATCGGGCAATATTATTTTTCAACAAGACATGAGTTCCAACCATGTAATATATGTAATCATCCATATCTATTGACAACTATTCATCTCTAATTAAATAAACATCACTGAAACACAAGTGAACTTTTTCAATTTAAAACTGAAAGCATGAAACTTTTTTATTCTTAAACTGAGCTACCATGACCTGCATCACAATATTCAACAGAATGAGGCAACGCATTTTCTCCAGCACACGATTCAAATTCAATAAACTACTCCTGATACCTGGCAGTGAGGGTCACTTGGAGCACTTTAATGATCTGGGGCTGGGGGTTTCAACCAAAACCAAGTCAGCATTCTATGTGGATTGACCTAAAAGTTTACAAAAATGGTGGGGGCGGGAGATGAGGGATGGCTACTGCCTTTTGCTTTTGAGTTAATCACCACCTGTATTTCCCCTGCTTTTGATTTCTTTTTTCAATATTTTCTTTCAAGTTCTACATTCCATGTCCTCCATTGGCATTTGCAATTGCAACAAGTCCACCATTCTTCTAACCGCTTTTTCTCTCTTTTCTTACAACACAACTTCATCATCTGTTCCTGCATCTAAACTTTGATGATCATATAGGATTTCAAATTATGGTAAGCTTTTTTCTAATTGGTTTTTGTTTCTCATTTTTTGGTTCCTTGCCACTCTTCATTTCCTGGGAATAGGATAAGCACTAAAAATACCAATTTTTTTGGTGTTATGCTCCAGGGAACCCCTGTTAACATCATAGTTCGATCACATGTTTGGGTTGAAGATCCTGAGGTTGCATGGATTGACAGTGAAGTGAAAGATATCAATGGCAGAGATGCCACCCTCATTACTTCAAATGGGAAAACTGTAAGCTACCTTCACCTCCCATTATATTGGAAACTTACCTTTATCTTCATCTTACAATTTATTTTTGACATTATCACATTTTGGATTAGTCATTTGTAATTGCATACTATCTGGTGTTTTTCATTTTCTTTGAGAAAAAGGAAAGCTCTCTAAGTTATGATATCGGCTTCTCATATTGGAATAATTAAATTCTCAATGTCCTCATGCACCACAGTTGATCATAAAAAGTTATCCCTACTGCTTGATCAGTAATTAGAAACAAGCATATCATTCACAAAACAATAAAGAAATATATAATTAAATAAATGCTATTCATGGACCTTTATCTACTTGCAAAAGAAGGTAGAAATTATTTCGCACACAGGTTTTGCAATATCATTTGTAAAAGTCTTGAGTTAAAACTGAATATTCAAGGCAAAGAACCATATAATCTTGTTTCTGAAGACCATAAGGGATTTTATCGAATGATAAGTCTGCCAGTTGGAATAGAAGTGCATGTTTAATTTTTTTTTTTTTTTTTCACATCCAAAATTATAGATTATGATTACAAAATTTCATTAAATGGCACCAAGATTTATTACTATTTCTAGTTTTGCTTACAATTAAAATGCCTCCACTATGAAAGGCCTAGTGAAGTGTTATTTATTGGCATCTCTGAGACATTTGCATTATAGACAAATGAACTGAAAGTGTAGTTTCTACCTCTATTCCAGATAGTTGCTGATACTGCTAGTATATATCCTAAAGATACAGAAGCACCGCCAGCAGGAGTTGACGACATGACTAAGTTAGCTTACCTCCATGAACCGGGAGTCCTACATAATCTTGCTTGTCGATTTTCTCTGAATGAGATTTATGTGAGCCATATATACAGCAAATTTACATTGAATTTTTCACTAATTACTTGAGCTAAAAATAATGGATGTATAAATAATAACAATTCCATTAATTACCTTGATATGAACAGACTTACACTGGAAACATTCTAATAGCAGTGAATCCTTTCCGGAGACTGCCACATTTGTATGACATCCATATGATGGAGCAATATAAAGGAGCTGCTTTTGGAGAGCTTAGTCCACATCTGTTTGCTGTTGCAGATACCTGTTACCGGTACATTTGTTATGAAAAAAGACTGAAGTAGCAGGAAAATTATTTTCAAATTAAAATTAACATAAATTAAAGGTAATCTAACATTCTATTCAGGGCAATGATAAATGAGCAAGGAAGGCAATCCATTTTGGTAAGTGGAGAGAGTGGAGCTGGTAAAACAGAGACAACAAAAATGCTTATGAGGTACCTTGCATTCATGGGAGGGAGATCTAGTACAGAAGGAAGAACAGTAGAACAACAAGTTTTGGAAGTAAGTACGCACTATTGCCAAATCTATATATCAGAATATTGAAATGATTGAAAAGAAGACTTGTCTTTTCATTTCTACAGTCCAACCCTGTCTTGGAAGCATTTGGGAATGCCAAAACTGTTAAGAACAACAATTCCAGGTGAATATTTTTTGCTCTTTCTTCAAGGTTATTTATCCTTTTTTCTGGTTAAACTTAAAATATTCATTTGTTTTGTCAGCCGTTTTGGAAAATTTGTTGAAATTCAATTTGATAAGCATGGGAAGATCTCTGGAGCTGCATTACGTACTTATCTTCTTGAAAGATCACGTGTTTGTCAGGTCTCAGATCCAGAAAGAAACTACCATTGCTTTTACATGCTCTGTGCAGCTCCACCAGAGGTGACTTTAAGTACATTGTTATCACAGCTACCAAGCCACACCTGTAGCTACATTAGCTAACAAATGTCCCTTCTCAGGATGTCAAGAAATTCAAGTTAGGGGACCCAAGAACATTTCGTTATCTAAACCAGTCAAACTGCTACGAAGTAGCTAATGTAGATGATGCAAGAGAGTATTTGGAGACCAGAAATGCAATGGATATTGTAGGAATCAGTCAAGATGAGCAGGTTCAGGAAATTGAAATCAGCTTGTAAGAAAATAAAACAATCACAGTTTTCTATTTTTCAAATTAATAGATGGATGTTTACCTGTACAGGATGCAATATTTCGTGTTGTAGCTGCGATCCTCCATCTGGGAAACATTGACTTCACTAAAGGAAAGGAAGTCGATTCCTCCAAACTTAAAGATGAAAAATCACAACACCATCTTCAAACGGCAGCAGAGCTCCTCATGTAAGAAGTGTTATCATTTGAACTATCCCAATATATATTCTTTTTGTTTCTCTGTTTTTGTTTGGGCGTGGGGTAATTTCTATAGATGCCTGTCGATTTTCTCTGAATATCCATTCATTCAGGTGCAATGAGAAGGCACTAGAAGACTCACTTTGCAAGCGTGTCATAGTGACTCCTGATGGTAACATCACAAAACCACTGGACCCAGATTCTGCAGCACTAAGTCGTGATGCCTTAGCCAAGACTGTTTACTCCAGGCTGTTTGACTGGTAAGCAAATTATACACAATATTCAAACAAACGATTGCATTCAATGATGTCATCCAGGTAGTTGATACATGAACCTGAAGAGATAACAAAACCAACTTCCGGATCTCAGCTCTGTTTTCTTAACCTGAATTAAAGTGTACAGAAATGAACTGAATAAGGATAAAAATTTCAAACACTGCAACAGGATTGTGGAAAAGATAAACAGTTCAATTGGGCAAGATCCAAATGCAGCAAGTTTAATAGGAGTCCTTGACATTTATGGCTTTGAAAGCTTCAAGATCAACAGGTATGTCATGGTAGACAATACTTTTATCAATAAATATTTGAGCATCTAGCTTAAAATCTAAAAAAAATTTATTGGTAGTTTTGAGCAGCTATGTATCAACCTAACAAATGAGAAATTACAACAACACTTTAATCAGGTAAGAGGAGCATAAAGTTTCTATATATGCTTTCAACATTAACTATTATGCAATTTTGATCTGGAGCATTCCATTCTCTACAGCATGTATTCAAGATGGAGCAAGAGGAGTACACAAGGGAGGAAATAAACTGGAGCTACGTGGAATTTGTTGATAACCAGGATGTTCTGGATCTTATTGAGAAGGTATTATCTCCTATAAGACTGCTGAATTCCTAATTAAGATGTCAAAAGCTTTTGTATATATGAAATCTTAAGAAATGGTTGCATGTCCTTGCAAGCAGAAACCTGGGGGTATAATTGCACTACTTGATGAAGCCTGGTATGTATTCTATGTACTTAACATCATATGTATATCGATAACTAGAAAAAAAGATAAACTCATCCCGTCTGGTTGAGCTTTAAAACGGAAGTGCAAACCCTGGATAGCACAACGGTATGTGCTACCAGAAAACACAAGTAATTAAAACAAACGTGAAAGAGAAACATGTATACTAAATGAAAGAATTACAGCACAAGTTTAATTCATCTGCAGTATGT